GGGGGGGGGGTGAATTAGTGCAGCGGAAAACTTTCGACGATTAAAACTGTGTTCGTACGATAAAAGCGATTTCGATAGAAAAGCCGATTCATAAATCACTTTAACTTGTGATCAAGTGAGATGCAGTTAAAGGAATCTATGAAGGCAGTTTGCAGTTATGATAGAAATCAGAATGTAAGCACAAACTGAAATATGATGTTCGTACGATAAAACTGATTTACGTCTAAATGCCGATTCGGAAAATACTGAACTTTAAAACACGATCGTAAATGCATAGAAGGCAGTAAGCTATTAAGGAGGTTTGCAGTAAAGATAATATGCTCAAAGTAAATGCAAACCGAGATTTAGAGTGGTTCGGTCAATCTTGACCTACATCCACTTTTGGCTTCCTCCACCGACGAGGTCACCGACGTCAACTAGAGGCCTTCCTTCAATAGGCGAAGGCCAACCACCCTCTTATAGATTCACTCCTTTTGACGGGCTTAGGAGACAACCCTTACAGAATTTTCTCTCCTCTCTTGAAAGATCAAAACTTGGAAGAAAAGAGGGAGAACTTTTAACCCATACAACACTTTTAAGCTCTAAAAATCACAGAGTAAGATCAGGATATTGGTGGTTTTTGGTTACTTTGTCATTGCTGAAAGGGTGGGGTATTTATAGGCCCCAACCCAGTTTAAATTCCGAGCTCAAAACTGTTAATTCCTGGAATTCCGGGGTCTGGCGGTTGCACCGCCTGACTAGGGCGGTTGCACCGCCTGGCAGAGCTCGAAGACTGAGCCTCTGGGCGGTGCCACCTCTTGTCAGGGGCGGTTGCACCTCCTGCCAGAGCTCGGAGACTGAGCTCAGGCGGTGCCACCGCCTGACTGGGGCAGTTGCACCGCCCAACTAGAGCTCAGAGACCAAGCTCAAGCGGTTGCACCTCTATCAAAGGCGATTGCACCGCCCAGCTAGAGCTCGGAGACTAAGCCCTGGGCGGTGCCACCGCCGACCCAGGCGGTGCCACCTCTGGCCAAGAAATCTGGGTCCGAATGGGCTAATCCATTTGGCCCAATTTGGGTCTATCAAGGGCCCAATTGCCCCAAGATTAAGTTAATGGGATCACCTCCCATTTCTAACTTAATCATCATGCTAACTATGAATTTCTTAAGACATTTACTACAGCTTGCTTCCGGTGCGTCAATCGCTTCTTCTGGAGAGCTTCCGGCGAACATCCGACGAACCTCTGGCGATGCTCCGATGGACTTCCGGCAAACTCCTGGACTTGCGACAATCCACTTGGCGAGTTCCAACGAGCTTCTTTTGGCAAGCTCTTGGACTTCTCGGATTTGTTCCCACAGAACCTCCGACGATCGTCCGGACTTCCATCGAGCTCTCGAACTCCCAACGTGATCATAGTCTTGACTCCGGTACAACTCCTGCTACATGTCTTTCTTTCATCGTAGTTAATCCTGCACACTTAAAAAAAAACTTCGATCGAGACAATTATTCCTAAGCAATTAACCAAGTTGTCTGGCATGTCATTGGTCCCTCGACGCTTCGTCCGATTCTTCGGCGCATCGTTCTCTCTTGTGGCCTATTGCCCAATCGGCTAGTTGACTCCGCAACTTCGATATCCTTGGCGCAATACTTGCTCTTCTTGGCCCGATGCCCAAGTCCATGACCCGAAGCCTTCTGTTGATACGTCGACCGATCCACCGGTCCGACGTCCAATCTTTTGACATGTTCCTCCGGCACAACATGATTTTTCCTGCTTTAATTGTCTCATCCTGATCGGAGCATCCTGCGTCACTCAAAACACAGATTAAAACATAAACACATATCAAGTGGTTTCATCATCAAAATACGAGATTCAATAGATCACCGCTAGAGAGGAGGACGCTTGACCTCCTTCACCCTCTCCTAAGGATCTGCAAGGAAATAGGGATATACAATCTCCTAGGTAACATAATCTACTCTATACGTAGTTTTAAGTTTCGTGAATTTTGCGCACCAATCTTCGCACGATGACGAACATCTCTTTGGGAATCGGAGATTTTATTTTCTTGTTCTTCCGCTGTGCATCTGATGTCGCCCCCCAAGATTTCCCAACACATAGCACTTCTTGTCATCTTATTATTCACTAAAGTGGAGCTTCTAGTAACTCCCGATCATACCTCTATATGATCAAGTCTCTCATGGGACTTCTCCTATGTGTGTTGCATTGCCTCAAATTTTTTACCATAATCTATTATACCATGCTATATTTTGATGACATCTCTATTGTATTCTGATCTTTGTGAGATAAACTCGGACTGTGATCTCTTCATGTGTGGCCTCTACTTGTTGCACATCACAAGGCCTCTACCACCTCTGATTGTGTTTGCTCCTTTAATAATCAACTTTTATCTACCCATTCTTGAGTCATACCTAGATGAAATATAGTTCTAGGATAGTCTATCACCTAGCAGCCCTCAAAGTCCACTGATTTTACTAAAATTAGTGTGTCATTATTTAAATCTTGGGCCCCTCCCCCTAGTATAATCTTTGTTGCACTCTACTTCTTTTCACGTCAACTTAAATAGTAGCACTACAACTCTTTAAGAGTACCCATATTCGTATCCTCTTGTCTCATGCCAAGGCCTTCCAACCCCAACTTCACCTCTGTAAGTTGAGTCGCCTTAGTCCCTTCGTCAAATGCTTTATCGTGATAAGATACATGTGTCTCGAAGCACCTTTTAATTTTAACACCATGTAAGATGAGTCTATTTCATTATAACAAGGGACCCATGGAATGCCATGATCTCGCTCTTACTTTTACAAGAGTTCATATCCTTGATCTCCATCTAAGGAAAGCTTTATGTCGTCGCTCCATATTTTGTCTTCTATGTCGACTCCCTTCATATGGCTTTGGTATTTTACCAAATTCTACCTAAGTTGCTTCACTCCTCAATTTGAATTAAGCTTATGGTGGCCCTTGTACCAACCACTCTATGGGTCAAATCTCCATTGAAGTAACTTTTCTCTTTGTATGGAAGCTTTGGAGATCATCATCCCCTTGGATTGCTCTATATTATTAAATAATTTATATATTAATTCCATCACTACGAGCATACTTACTAGATTGTGATTCTTCACTAGTATAACCTCTATTAGTCCCTCGAAACTTAGGAATATACTCAATTTACTATACACTTCAGCCTCCTATCGATATATCATTCTCATGTCACAACACAAATTTAAACTTCCATAGTTTTAATAATTGAGATGGTGACGAATAGTCCACTGTATTATTCTTTACACCCGCATTGGAATTGTTGCAGAGGAAATCACGAGGGGATCGAAAGAAACATCAAAAGCTGATTGTGATAGATCAATAAATATTTTTTCTTTTTTTTGCGTTGTACCTGCAATCAGATTCCGTCACACAAACATGTCGAGATGTGATTTGCGAAGGTATGGGCTTCCCAAGTTACATCACTCCTCTATAGCTAGCATTTGATATTGGGATTTTGGAGCACTCAAATCCTGTAAGTACCATATTCCCTTTAGTTTTCTGATGGTTTTAGCTTTAATCTCCCTGTTGACGTTATACATAAAGAAGTAATTGAGAAGATTACTAAAAGTAGACAAGTTTTTATCACTGAAAATAATGGAAATCTTCGTTATTTGGTTTCTCCTTTGTGCATATGTAAGCGAAGACATTGCTGGTAAGTATTTGAGATAAGGTTTATATGATTCATTCATATGCTTTAATCTCAAGGTTCAATTGTTTTGGATTGACAGAATGTCACTTCTGTAAATCTTGTGAAAGAGAAACTTTAGTTAATAACGGTTTCCGTGGAATTTTTAGTCTAAGGTCCTTTTGTGGAGTTTATTGTTAGTCTGAAGGAAGGTCCTTTTATGAAGTTTCTGGGTTGCGTAAAAACTCAAGTGGTGCTTTTAGACTTGTCTGAGGTTGGAGCTGGCTGTGTCATAAGAAATCACATGAATCACACTCGTCATAGGTGTTTCTTCATGAGACTTGCTGCTTGTGAGCTGCATGATTTGCCTAAAATTTAGATGACCAATACCATAAAAATCTAAGTAGTTAGGTTATCAACTTATGTAGGATGAGCTAAAATTGTTTTCCCACATGAAAATTTGTGATTAAATGAATTGATTACAAAGTTAACTAAAATGAGGTAAAAACCACTTATAAATATTAATTGCTTGCTGTTGAGGGAGCACCTCAATCTTACTGTCATCATTTTAACTCCCACCACCAGGCAAACCACTGCTTATTTTTTGAAACCCTCATCCCCATTTATCCCTGTATAAATTGCAAGCTCAATGATGTTATTACCCTCCTGACTGCTGATTAGATTGCAATCTGATGCTTTGTTGTTCTCAAATGAAAACTTCCCGATCAGAATGGATTGTGCAAGCATAAAGAAACTCATGTGTCATAATAGGCTGATAGATCACCAATAATCTCCACATGAACATCTGCCATCTTTGAAATGGTGAAACCTTTTGATATCCCTTAGGATGATCACTTTGTTGCACAGTTTGCTTGCAAACTTCATCAACAAATGGCAATCTCCACAAACTCTACGGTTCTTGACAATCCTAATGTCAGCTCCAATGGGAGTACTCAAAAGACCCAAGGCAAGTGCCAACTTCTCACTATGGCATCCTAATGACTCCTCCTTGTCCTCATCCTCAATGTTATGAAGAACCCAATCTGTATCAGGCTCATAACCCTGCTCTTTAGCTCTGGTTGCTAGTTCCTCTAACTTTCCATATATTTCTTTAGATCGTGGATGAGATCGATCACCCGCAACAAAACGATGTCCACCTCCCTCCACCTCAATGTAACTCCATCCAGGTAACCTCTCGATACCACTGTCTTTCATGACAGTCCTTACTTTCTCAGCATCATCATCCCATCTACCTGCTCCAGAATACATGTTTGAAAGGAAAATAAAGGTACCCTGATGCTTTGGTCTGAAATTGAGAAGCTTTTCTGCTGCTACTTCGGCCAATTCAACATTCTTATTAGCACGGCAGGCGTTGAAGAATGCACCCCAGAGAACAAAGTCTGGTTCCATCGGCATGGCTTTCATAAGTGACATGGCATCGTTCAACCGTCCTGCTCTTCCAAACAAGTCCACCATGCAGGTGTAATGCTTAATGGTGGGCTCGATCTTGTACTCGAATCTCATGCTGTCAAATATCTGGAGCCCACGTTCAACCTTCCCAGAGTGAGAGCATGCCATTAGCATGGCCAGAAATACTGCTTCATCTGGTTCAATGCATTCACATTTCATTTCCTCAAAGCATCGGAGAGCTTTTGCCCAATGGCCATGGATTGCCCATCCCAAAATCATCGACGTCCAGGTAAGAAGGTCCCTCCTATCCATAACATCAAACACCTGGGCTGCAAGTTCAATCTTCCCGCATTTGGAATACATAGCCACGAGTGCTGTGCCAATAACACCATTTTCCCTGAACCCACTCTTCAAAGCAAAATCATGAATCCTAATTCCCCTCTCCAAAGCCCCCATCCTCGCGCAAGCTGAGAGGGCAGATGAAATCGTGAATTCGTTGGGCTGCACGCCTGAATCCAACATCTTCTCAAAGAAACCCAATCCCTGCTCATATTCATCGAGTCTCAAGAAACCTGCCACCATCGTCGTCCATGAGACCACATTCTTCTGTGTCATCTGATGAAAAAGCTCAACGGCAGACTGTGCATCACCTTGCCTCATGTATCCCTGAATCAGACTATTCCAAGAAGCCACGCTCCTTACTGGCATCGACTCGAAGAGCCTCCTTGCAACCTCTAAATCACCAGACAAGCAGCACCCGTTGATCGAGACGTTCCAAAGGAGCACGCTCGATGCCTTGTGCCATCCAGGCGTGTCGTCGAACACCATAAGAGCACATTCCGCGAATCCGAGCTTAACATACATGTCGACGATGGAGGTCCGGACGAAGAGGTCAAGGTCGAGGCCGGACTTGGCGGCGGCGGCATGGAGACAGGCGGCGTGGCGAGGCGAAGGGAGCGCTGCAGCTGACTTGAGGGCGAAAGGGAAGGCGAGGCGGCTGGGCCGGAGGCCGGAGCGGGTGATGAGGACGAAGTGGGACAGGGCAGCGGAGAAGAGGGAGCAACTGGCAAGGGCGCGGACGAGGGCGTCGAAGACGGGAGGGGACGGGGGGGAGTGGCGGAAGAGGGCGAGCGCGTACGGAACTGCTCGGAGGTGCGGGGAGCAGGCGGCGGACACGAGCTGGGCGGCGAGGCGGGCCGTGAGGGGGAGCCGGAGACGGAGGACGCGGCCGTGGACTTGCTTGAGCTGGAAAGCGGATTTGGAGGAGTGAATGATGGAGATGAGGTGGTATTCAGTTCTGGCCGGCGACGGAGAGGGAGATGGAGGCGAGAGTTTTGGCATTGAGAGGCGGGACTTGGCGATGGGCCGGGAAGCCATTACAGTGACCGGAGTAGGTGGTAGGGCAGAGATGGCAGAAGGATTAGACGACGCGTCCATGTAGCCGGCGGCAGGTGCCCCGGCAAGGCAAAGGGTGGGGCGTCGCAATGTTGGTGGGTCAGGGCGGTTCAAATTTGTCGATCTGAGACCGAGGAAAGAGATACCGTTTATTATGTGGGTGTTGGATTTCAATGGGATTAAAAGCCACATTACAAAGGTTGACCTCCAAGAAATAGTTTGACCACTTTTTATGCATTATGACCGCAACCAAATTAGTACCATTAAGCTTAATTGAATCACCCGTCAAAATTTGAAGAACTATGTGCACTCTTGCTAATGATGAATAAACTTGTGGGTCAGATCATTAAGTTCATGAAAGTATTACTTGTTTATTATCATTATTGTTAAGGAAAACTTGTTTCGGATTTTTACGCGCTCATTTTCGAAGTTCTACCCTAAAATATCATTCACATAAAAAGGAAAGGAATCTCAAAACAATAAACATTGAATTTCGACTCTTAAACTAAATACTAGTAAATGATGCCTTAAACGGGCTACTACCAAAAATTTGTTAAGGACTATGGAAAGATCAGTGCACCCCTCACTTCTTTTCTGAAAAATGATGCCTTCCAATGGTCGGACAAAGCCTCCGTTGCTTTCGACAAACTTAAGGCTGCCATGACGACGATGCTAGTGCTAGCGCTATGAGATTTCAATCGACCCTTCATCATTGAGGCTGACGCATCCGGAGTTAGAATTGGAGCCGTTCTCATGCAAGATGGTTGACCACTCACATGCACCAATAAGACATTATCTCCCTCCCATCAAAATATGTCAATATATGATAAGGAGATGCTTGCCATTGTGCATGTAGTAACGAGGTGGAGACCCTACTTGATCGGTCGGTGAGTTCAAATTAAAACCAACTATAGAAGCCTTAAGTACTTTTTGGAGCAAAAAATATCATCCCTTGAGCAGCAAAAATGGGTAACCAAACTTCTTAGATTTGATTATAAAATTATTTACAAAAAGGAGAAATAAAACGTTGTTGTAAATGCACTCTCACGGCTACCTGAGCAAATTAAGTTTTCAACCATCTCCCTTCCTACCACAACTTCCTCGAGGACATTAGGGAAGAATAGAAGAAGGACCCAGAGATCAGCAATATCATAAAAAAATTGGAGGATCCAAGTGCAATAGCCCACTACACTTGGGATTCGAGAGATCTATGCTATAAAGGTCACAGTATGCTTATACCTAACTCCCCTTGCATCAAAATCATCATGCATGAAATGCACTCCACACCGGATTCCTGATAACCTACAAAAGAGTGAAGCAAAATTTTTATTGGAGAGAGATGAAAAAAAAAATTACTGAATATATGGCACAATGTGATGTATGTTAACATCACAAGGGTGAAACATTGATAAGTCCAAGGAAGCTACAACCACTACCCATACTGGACTCGATGTGGACTAATATCTCCATGGACTTCATCGAAAGGCTGCCACCTTCCAAAGGTAAAAGCACAATTCTCATGGTGGTTGATCGACTTATGAAATATGGTCATTTTTGTGTTGTGCGAAATCCCTACACTGTTGCTAGTATTGCCCAGATTTTCATAGAAAATATTGTTAAACTACATGGGATGCCAAGGTCCATTGTAAGTGATTGTGACAGGATCTTCACCAATAAATTTTGAACCGAGTTATTTCAATTACAAGGCACCAAACTCAAGATGACTACAGCGTATCATCCACAAACTGATGGCCAAACAAAGATGGTAAACATGTGTTTAGAGACATACCTTCGGTGTTTCGCCAGCGACCGGCCAAAGGAGTGGACGAAATGGCTTCCTTGGGCTAAATGGTGGTATAATACTACAAATCATTCATCTACCAAATGTGCCCATTATGAAGTACTGTATGGTCGGCCGGCCCTTGTGATTCTAAAGTATGTAATTGGCTCGGCTAAGGTAGATCAGGTCGACCAAGTATTGATTGATAGGGACAAACTCCTACAACTGTTAAAGGATAATCTCTCTACCGCTCAAGCTAGAATGAAGCAGCAAGCCGACACACGACGAAGCGTAAGAGAATTTTCAGTAGGAGATTGGGTTTATCTTCGCCTACAATCATACAAGCAACTCTCCATCAACATTCGAGCCTCCATGAAGCTATCACCATGTTTTTATTGGCCCTATCATATCACAAAGTGTATTGGAGCCATGACATACATACTTAAATTGCTTGAGGATGCCAAAATTCACCTTGTCTTCCACGTGTCATGCTTGAAGCCCAAGTTAGGAGAACACGAGTCACCCTAGATCCAGCTGCCCAACACTATTGAGGATGGAGTTATTCAAGCCCAACCACAAGCCATCCTCGACCGCAGGATTGTGATGCGTCACCGACGTCCCTCTACTGAAGTACTAGTGCATTGGAATAATTTACCACTTGAAGACACCACATGTAAATTATCTGAGAAGCTGAAGACCCGGTTTCCTGAGTTCATAAAATCCTAGTCTCGAGGACAAGGCTGATTTGAAGATGGCGGGTCTATTAGGACTCTAGCTACGAGAGTCATAATTGAGAGGGGCATTCATGTTAACCTACCTAGCCTGTCCCTATTAAAGAGGTGAAGAGGCCGGCTAGGGTTAGGAGGTTATTTCTTAGAGAATCATTAAGAGTTGTAAAGGAATAGGAGTCTTAAGTAGGAGTCATATTAGGAGTTAGGGTTTAGAAGCCCTATAAACAACCATATATTCATCCTCTTTTAACAAATAATAGATGAATTTTTTCTGCAACCTTTGAGCAACAATTTGCAGGAAGGAACCCCTATAGAGTTCCAAGGAGGCCAATCCCCTAAAGAGATCAACCCCAAGCTTAGAATTTGTAAAGGTTCTATCAAGCATCTCCTTAGTGACAATGAGCGACTAATCCTCCTCATCAGTGATTGCAACCCCTGCTTTTGTCACTAACTGTTGCTCCTTCCTCCAGTTGAAGCATTCTAGTGGAGATCTATAGCCTACATACGTTCATCACTTTTATCGAACGTATCTCTAGAGCCATCAGGATCCGCTATGCCATGACATTCTTCTCCTCTAATTACACATCCGCCTTCATCTTCAATCTCTAAGTCACTCCTCTAATGACTCCAACTCTGGAGCCACCGATGAATCCACCGTTAGGCTCAGTGCAGTGCCACCAATAACTCCTCAGCCAAGTTCGATTGTAAATCCACACTGTAGAATCCACCAAGTGGTTGATCTGCCATCTTTGTGAGAGCGTAGTGTTGACCGCCTTGCCACTACCGCTCATCTCTGCTATCGTATCCTCACTCTCTAGCCTCTCAAGCCATAGTTCTGCCATTAATGGTGAAACCATCAAATGACATCCCAGAGGCAACAACTATAGCGAACACGACTAGTCCCATCGGTCCCACTCTAAAGACTTTGAGCTCCACCACTACCACACCAACTCCAATGAGTAGCAGCACCACCCCTACCCCTTCGGTGACTCTAAAGAGCAACCTTACTACACTCGCGATAACCGCAAAGGCTCCCAAAGCTAGTGCCGCCACTCTGGTCGAAGCTCCAAAGGCTCCTACACCGGCCTCCTCTATTGCGATTGGTCTCCCAGTTGTAGTGTCTCTAGTGCTGTGCTCACTAGTGCCACTCTCCATCAGATTCAATAGCCCCTTCGAGGGTCACCAGCTTAGAATCCCATTCCCTTACTGGGCATTGATCTGCATCTCTAACTCTACGTCGAACACTCGTCTGTGCATCGAGCGCAATGTTGGCCCACTTGCCTAGTTGCAAAGCACCTTCAACACTAGGACATTACTGATCTGCTACCATCACTGCCGAAACATCTTCTCCTCTACTTCCTCTATGCCTTTCTCCATTCATAACCCTCAACAACAGGACCTGCAGGAGATATCGACGAAGTGCCCGTCATCTGTTCTCGGCAGTTGCACATGTTGAATCTCAGATTTTGATGATAACATCAATTGGTGAATTAATGATCTAATCCATGTGTTGAGATAAGTGATATAGGACTAACTACAATCGTGAGAAAGGCAAAATGATTAAAGAAGAATCAAAGTTAGGCCGGAGTCAATGATTGAGCATCGAGCCAGATGAATCGGGGGATACACCGAAGGATCGAATGATGCAATGAAAGCTCGCTAGAAGTTCACCGGGAGTTCACTGAAAGCACATCGAGAGTTCACCGAATGCTCACCGGAATATCGCCAGGAGTTTGCCGAAAGCTCACCGAGAGTTTGTCGGAAGTTTATCATGAGTTCGGTTGAACAATTAATGTGCCGAATAACTTAGATTATGTGTATCATAATTGTTTTAGCCTTAACTATCATAGTTAGGACTTTAATTTGAGTTAGTTTTGGGAGAAATCCTACTAACTCAATTAGGGGCCAACTAGGTCCAAATCAAGGCTGAATTGGGTCGGTTGGATGGCCCATTCAGCCACTTGGAGCCATGTCAGGTGGTGGCACCGCCCAAACTGAGCGGTAGTACCGCTTCAGGCTCAGCCTCCCAAGTGATTTGGGTAGTGGTACCACTAGCAATTAATACTACCAGGTGGTGGTACCACCCTGCTAAGCGGTGGTACCACTAGAGCCCGGTCTCCAAGGCTCTGTCAAGCGATCGTACCACCCAGACTAGGCAGTGGTACCACCTAGTGTTAATATATGAGCGATGAAACCACCCAAAAATGGCGGTGGTATCGTCAGTATCTCGAAAACCCGAGATGAAATACTTTTTGGCTCCATTTTTGAAGCCATTAGGGCCTATAAATACCCCACTCTTTCCTGTAAGAAAGAGCACGAAAGTACAAACAAAAATCTTGAGATTTTGGGATGTAAAATTGCTAAGTGTCCTCCTCCTCTCTTTTAGTTTTATGATCATTCAAGAGAGGTGTGAGGCTTATAAAAGGTTATCTTCTAAATCTGTAAAAAGGAGAAAGTGAGTGTTGTAAGAGGGTGGTTGGTCATCACCCATTGAAAGAAGACGGTTAGTGGACACTAATGGCCTCAACGAA